ATGTATGTGTGTGTGTTTTGTTTTATTTTAAATATATATGTAGCCACATATTTATTAAATTATGATAAATTGTATTTTTTTTAAGTGTATTTTATGGACCAAATTACATATTTTAAAATGTATTTTAATAACGTATTTCTTTAAAAAAATTCAAAAAAAATGGGACTGATTTGGGACTGGCCCGGGACCGGTTACAAAGTACCTTAATGGGCCTTGGGTTTTTGGTCGGGATTAAGAGTAGTTACGGGAGTAGTGTTTGGGACCTAAACCGATATGAGCCCGACACAACTCGAAACCAATTTTTGACGATCTCTAGCATAGAGCTATAAGCTCTAATTATAGATGTGGATTGTGGAGTAGTGATACCCGACCCGTGACCCATTTTTAACCACTCTAATGTGGATTGTGGAGTGCTGGTATGGTTGGGCTTCGATTAAATACATGGCCCCATTTTTAGCCACTCAAATTGTAGATGTGGAATTGTGGATTTTGGAGTGCTGGTATGGTTGGGCCTTCCTTCAATGAAATATATGGCCGGGGTCCATGAGAGAATAGCTAAAAAGATGGCCCACGAATGAACCAAACAAATTTATCCTTAAATTTCGTTTATTATATAAATTTGGTCGTCATGGTTTGTATCAAACAAATTTGATTAATTAATAAATAAATAAAAATAAAATTTAAATGAAAATATAGAATAGAGAAACAAGGGGCCGTTTACCTAAACACTTATCCGATAAGTATTTATCGGTAAAATTCAACATTATTGTTTACTTATCGGGTAAGATTTTATTCACTAAAACGCATCGTATGCAACTATTTATCCCGGTAAGCGCTAACCATGGTAAGAATTCTCGTCCTCACTTACCGGGTAAGACTCTCGATTATTGTCTTCGCTCTTACCGAGTAAGATTATTAGCCCTTGCCATATTCATTCAGTAAAGTAAAGTGACTTGGTAAGCGCTTACTCGGGTAAGCGTTTGGTAAACGGCACCTAAATGCATTTAATAAAAATAACAATCGGTTGGTATAAAATAAAACTAGTTTTTTTTTCTTTTCAAATTCTATTGAACTTTATCTGATGATAATTTAAAATAAATAAATTTTTTAAATAGATTAATAAATAAAAAATTATTAAATTTTAAGAAATTTCAACTTTTTTTTTTTAAATTTTAAAAAGATACTATTCACTTATCAATAACTCTACTGAAATTATTTAATTTTTTATTATTAAAGTTATAACAATTTTTAAAAAAATTAGTAGAAAAATACGTCTTAATATTTTCATTAATAATTTTTTATTTATAATTTTATCAAAGTTTTTATTTATTTATTTTTAAAACTGCATGGTTTTAATTATTAAATTTGTTTTAAAAATCGGTTGGCTTAAAATGCAAGAAAGTTACAAGTCACATAATGAACATACATATTTCATAATTGTGGACRTGATCATTATCGATTTTCAATTATAACAGAATTATTACAATTCACAACAAAATCATATAATTATCATACAAAATCACATTTTAAGAAGTCATTTTATGTTTATTATATGACTCGTAGTTTTCTTTTTCTTCCTATTTTAAACCAATCGGTTTCTAAAATAAATTTAATAAAAAGACAAACCAACCGATTTTTAAAATAAATAAATAAAAACTTCGATAAAACAATAAATTACTTATTAAAGAGTCAAGATTTATTAGGCTATTAATTATATTTTATGTTTTCAAAATTATTATAATTAATCAAATTGATTTGATATTTAAATTATATATATATATATATATATATATATATGTGTGTGTGTGTGTGTGTGTTTTTTTTTTAAATATGTATGTAGCCATAGATTTATTTGAGAAGTGATAGGTATTTGAGAAGTTGAGAAATAATCACATCTCTTTATCTGATCAAGATTTGCGGCTTTGACTGTGAAATATCGGATAATTTCTCGCATAATATGCGGAAGATAGAGCGATACTTTTGTAACTTTTACAAATATGCTGCAAAACGGGTGCATATATGGACTTGTGTGATTGACATATGAACTATATGTCCATATGTGAACCCGTGTAATTCATATATGGATTATTTAACTTATTCATATATGAACCAATTAACTGATACAAATATGAACCAATTAACTGATTCACATACGAACCCGTGTGATTCACATATGAACTATGGGTTCACATATGCACTTGTTCGTCGCCTATTTGTAAAAGTTATGAAACTACCGTTATATTTTTTGTTTGACCAATTAAATCCGCAATATTTAACCAGTCAAAGCCACAATTTTTGACTAATTTTGACCGTATGAAGCAATATGATCACTTCTTTACTTCTCAAATACTTACCATTTCTCAAATGAACCTCTTTCTATGTATGTGTGTGTATATATATGTAGTATTAAAATATAATAAAAAAGAAAAAGTAAAAAGTAAAAAGAGTAAACTATATAAATAAATGTTAGGTGATGTTTGTTTTGTAAAAGATGTTGAAGTTTGAAGTCTTATTTCATTTCTTATTTATAAGAGATGGTGTTGAAATTTGAATCAATAAGACTATTTGTTTTTATAAAGTGATAAATGTCTGAATTTATTTAAATTATCTATTTTGCTCATTAAAAATTATAGTGTTGAATTTATAGATAAATTTATACATTTTCACATATTTATTCATCATAATTATGAAATTTACATCTAAATTATACAATTAACATTCATTTAAAAGAAACTATGTCATTAACGGTGTTTAACACATTTATATTTTATTAAAATACATTAATTGAGAGAGGTGAGGATAGATTTGGTAAGGATTGATTGAGAGAAATGAACGATTAAGGTTAATCAATAGAGAAACGCCATTGTTGAGGATTTGAAGACAACAAGAGGCAAATAAAATGTTGGTTTATCTTTTATC